CTCCCCAGGTCAGTCAAGACAGGGCGTGTTGGGGTGTGTGTGTGCATGTAAAGCACTTGCCCTTTCTTAGTTTCACCTTCCTGGGTTCTAGCTAATGGAGGTGGGAAGGGCAACATCTTCTCCCCAACCCTGCCACCTTCCGTAAGTGGAGCTGCAGTTGTCCGCCCTAATTCTGTATCCTTTTCAGATAGGAAGTTGGTCAGCCGAAAGACAAGCACGTGCTGTTCAGCTCTGTTCACACAACAGCACGTTAATAGGCCATGCAAGCTTACCAAATCTCCCTTCATGTTTAATAAAATATATTGCTGCCTATTTGATACTTAATAGCAAGGAATGAGAGTTTAATGCATTGCTAATACCCACCAAAAGTGTGAATAGGCATTATTCCTTTTCATAGATGAAAGTCCAATTCTCAAGGAAATAGGCAACGCTCTCTAAATCTTTTAAATAATGTTAACTTATTCATATGCAGGCTTTATGAGTGCCCAAGCATGGTGACGACATCTGGGTGGGGTTTTTTTTTTTTTTTTTTGATAGAAAGATTTTCTTTATTAATGACCCCAACCGTATTTCTTTAGATACAGGAGTTCTGAACTCAAATACTTAGGAGAAAACAAGTTAAGACTGCATTATCCTGCAACTCATTACCAGTAACATATTGCAAAGCGAAATAGCTTGGAAAAGAGGGTGTGAGGGAAGGGGTGTGAGGGAGGGACTGTAAAAGAAAAGGAATTAAGTTGATCAAGTGGAATTCCTTTTTTTTAATTCTTGGGAACTATGAAGTCCTTGCAAGCACAGCTGGTTTCTGCAGATTATTTTCCAAATGCGTACAAAATGGAACCCAAATGGAGAATCCCTTAGAACCTGGAGAGGTGCAACATGAAGGGCCACGATTATCTGGCAGCAAGCGGTCCAGCCTTCAGTCGCCAGCACTTCTTCCCCCATTCCCAAGAGTTAGCGGGATGAAAACGTCTTCCCCGTGATTGTTTTCATTTCTTTTTTCTCGGCATCTGGGCGTGCACGGTTCAGCACCTTGAGGAAGTCAGATGTTTTTGCCCGCATACGTGTGTGGATATAGGCCTTGGAGCACTTGATGTGGTAGTGCAGGTAGTCCCGGAACGTGTGGATCAGGTTGATGGTGTTGTCTCGGGCACTGGCATTGGTGTGGCGGGGGAACAGTACAAAGGTGATGTAGCCAATGTTGTCACCCACAGCGGCATCTGTGTCTTTTAGCTCAAGAGGAGGTTCCCTGTGGCTGAAGAGAACCTGGGGGGCTGTGTGGCTGGCTCTGTGCCCTTCTTTGAACTCCTGCATGAACACCTTCCCAATGACCACGTCATCATCATCTTTAAACACCGTGCTGAAGACAACCGTGACTCTGTCCTTTTTAGATTCAACATACATGGTTTCATCATCCCTGTAGTGGATAACTGCCCTGTTCTCTCCTTTCTTGCCCTCTTCTTGGAATTGGAAGTACTTCTCAAAGACAGATGCAGAACAATTTTGCTTCAACATGCCAGCCTGATGCACGATGGAATCCTTGGATGCAGGCAGATTTTCAAGGTCATATAGCAAAGAGACATTGTATCCTGATTCTGGATTCACCAAGAAACTTCCGTACACCCTCTTTAACAGCTCATCAGCACCATGTGCCTGAAGTTCCTTGTAGAATTTCAGAGAAATACTGACCATCACTTTTGTTTTGTCTCCATTAGGATTTGAAATATGATAGAGGACCCCATCAAAATCTGCAAATGTCACTTCTACTGCTTCCGGTTTGTTTCCAGCAGCCGCGTTCTCGAACTTGAGCGCGAGCGTCTCCTCGATGATGCGGTTGTTCACCTCCAACAGGATCATGGCGGCGGCTGGCCCCCGAAGCCTGAACCCTCCTGCCGAGCCGCCGCCGCCGCCACTGCCGCCTCACCGACAAGCCTGGTCCCCCTGGGTGGGGTTTTTTTTGGTATTTAGTACAGGGTCTACAGGGTCTCACTACGTAGATTGGACTCATAGTGATCCTCCTGTTTTCAGTCCCCCAAGCGCTGGGATTATAGGTGCACGCCATCACAGCCAGTCTCTGTCCCAGGACACAAAATGCGTGCTTCCCATTTGCTGTGGGCTGAATTAAAACCTTTCTGGACGTCAGCCTAACAAAGGGGTCAGGTATGAAATAAATGCACAGTGTCCAGTATTAAATGTCAAGTATCCCTAGGCTGAAGCCATTGAATCGACTTAGGTTTCAGCCTAAGAATACAGCTGCAGGGATAAAGAAAACATGGGCTGTGCTGCCACTCACTGTAGCTGCGTTCATTTTCTTCCTGTACTTTCCCTTCTCTAAGTGTAACAGAGAACCAGTGCAGGAATTAGCATGTTTTGTTGTTTGTTTGCAGTGCTGGCGACCAAACTCAAGTCCTTGTATATGCCAGGGAAGCGACCTGTCTCTGAGCTATGTCCCTAGTCCGAATATTTACTAGAGAACCTTGTTTGGAGTTAAGTCTTAAAAGAATGACACTCTTCTAAGGTCTCCAACTAAGGATTCTTTTAAGAGTATTTTGGCCAAGCCAAATGATTCTGGGCCGCCTTGGAAGCCATTAAGCCTAGAATCATAGGAGGGGCCAGACTAGGAATGGAGTTTTTGGAATCCTACCAAGGAGTTCAGATGTTTTTCTAGATTTATTACTTAGTAATGAGACGGGCTTCTTTTAGGTTGAGGCCAAACTTTAAGGTGGATTTTAAGCTGAATTCCAATGTGGCCAGGTCTGTTATTACTGAAAGGTACTAAGGGAACCTGTGAAAGGGACACCTTCTGGAGGGGCATGATGCTTCAGGTGAGACTTTCAGGATGAGAAAAGGTTAGCTAAGTGAAGTTCAAGGGAAGAGGTTCACAGCAGGCTGACTGGAGTGGGCAAAGACCTGGAGCAGCGAACGTGCGCAAAGGTTGAGGGCCAGGGCATGCATCTCTCAGGGTAAAGATCAGACCTCTTTCTCCTTGATGCCCAGAGAAGCTCAAGGAGCAGCGAGGAGCGGGTATTTTGGCGAGGCCGTGGGAGTGGATGTGGTTCCAACCAGTGCAAAGCACCCGGGGGATATCACCATAGTACCCTGGTTATTATGGGCTGGAAAACCAGAGACAAAAGCTGTTTACTTGAAATGGATAAGCTGGCTCTTGTGCTTTTTTTTTTTTTTTTTTTTTTTAATGGGACGATTTTCTCTTTCTTGATTTCTCCCTTCAGTAAAAAAGAACGTACAAACAAGAGGTTACAAAGAAGAAGTCACAAACTACTGGAGCACTTTTGGGGCTGAAGGCAGTCCTAATACAAAATGCCTCTCCCACCCTGCACTATTTTTCTTTTTAAAGTGAAGTGGTATTTAAAAATAGGATTTGCACCTTTCAAAACCTCAGATGATCTGGCAGCCCTCATTGGCACGTGGGAGCAAGTGACCACAGCTGAGTGGCAGTCACCTTCAGAAGGGCGCTAATTTGAAGCTTGCCATCACTCTCGATCTTTTCCCTACACTGAGAGCCAAGTCACTTGAAATATTAATAGGTCAACAGACGATGCACCCGGATTCTGCACTGATTGCTATGATCTATCTGGTCACCAGAGGACAGGAGATGTGACAGTTGTAGGTCTGCGTCCCTTGGTTTAGAGGCTAACTTTAGGGATTTGAATCAAGCGTCGCTTTGTTGAAGGCGCTGAATTGAAGATTAAAGATGCTATTCTACACTTGTCAGAAAGTACGGAACCCATAAGTTACAAGCAGCCACGAAGAGTGTAAAGACAACAGGCAGAAATTGTCTGTTTCATTCTTTGTAGTAGTCCTAGCGTCCAACACAGTGCCTGGCACACAGCAGGTGCCCAGTAATTGCTGAATGAATGAATGAATGAATCAAAGAATGAACACGGGCCCAGCTCATAGGCATTGTTTAGCCTGATTTCAAAAAGAAGGCAATTGCAATAGCATCGTCCCACTGGACCGCAAGGTACAGCTAACCGAAAGCCCACCGGCACGTGGCAGGCTCTGTAGCAGTCTTGGGGTGGACCGCAGGCCCTAGATGTGCAGTGTCCCTAGGAGCCAGGCGGAGCCGGCTTCACCACAGTGGGACACGGCCGTGTCCCTCAGCTTTCTCACCGTCTGTTAATTCAGAGTAGCTTGATTTCTGCGCTTTTCATACATCACTGCCGTCTGATCAGCATGGCAGAGACCCACGCCCGGGGTCCGCGCCCGGCCTGGGAGCTTCGCGCTAAAGTTCCGGGGGCCGGAGCCGTGCCCACAGTAGACATGGCCTCCCTCTGGCTTCACCCGCAGGACTGCGTCGGAGTCTCCGGTAATTGAGGGCCGCTGGGAAGGCCGTTCCATTCCCACAGTCAACATGGCGGCCATGTTGGCGTCAGCGCAGGGCGGGCGGTGCCGCGAGGCGAGTCACGTGAGCGGCCCAGCTGGGCGGACCGCGCGCGCGCCCGCCCGCCCGCCC